TGGTGGTGGTGGTGGTGGTGGTGGTGGTGGTGGTGGTGGTGGTGGTGGTGGTGGTGGTGGTGGTGGTGGTGGTGGCTCCTAGGGACAAAAAGTTTGATAAAAACCCTAATCATGGCAAGCTTCTGCCTACTTGGCAAAAGACTACACATGTACCTTGAAATAGTAAGTATTGGAGTTGTTTGATTCTTACTTATCCAACCGTACGAACGTGATTAGCAACCCTAAAAATACCCAGGCATCGATCTCCTCTACCTTATCAAATTGTTGAAGACGATCAGAATAGGAAGCACACCTATTCCAGTGGAAAAATTAGAAGTTATTTGATGTGAATTGGTGTTTTTGACACCTCCAGCTCAGCATCTGCCACTTGGGTGTCACCTCCATTCCGTCGCATTTGCAAAGTTCAAAGGTGCCTCTCATTGCGCGTTCGTCGGTTTGCTGGGACCTCATTTCGCCAAACAATTTGTTCATTAAGCCATCAGGTCATCCCGGGTGCATTCTATACAGCATTACATCTGAACAAACCAGAATTTCACATCATCAGTAACCACAGAAGGAAACGTGTTCCATCCAATGCCCTTAATGAACAAAAAACTAGGAAAATATGCATGAATGGTTGAGATGTAGGGGATTATCAAGAAGAATGATGGAAGGGAAGATAATGTAGAAGCAAAAAGTTTCACCACTTCATACAGGCATTGCTGCCGAAAAATTGCAAAGAAAAATGAATAGCAGAAAGATAAGCCGCTTGTCAGATCATTTATAAACAAAAACAGAGCTTTTGATTTAAACATTTCTGAGGCAGGATGCTATCGTGGTGTTGCTACATGCAATTCTAAGTGATAGATGCGTTTAACAAGATTGTGGAGCAACATAGCTGGTGGACGCATGGATAGAATGGCGTGCGCTGATGACACCGAAGACGTGAAACTCGTGAACACTCTGCACGCTTATCTTCAAGCCCAGCACGGTGCGACAGGTAATGGTAGGTCTCAACAACAAAACCTTTGAATTTGGTATTTGAATAGCCTAAGATGTACCCGTACGTACATACGTCAGTGACGACTCCGGCCATGATGGGTCTCCTGTCCATAACACAGCAATCATTCCACCGAGTATATAATTCTTCTCCCCTCGTCGACTCAACTTACCTGTCATTAAATTGGGCCAAGAATGAATCTTTCCGCAGGAACAGCAGACGCAGCCATGGGGGTGGGGGGCATTTGAGATTTCAAAAAGTTGACCCACGTCAGGCAGCTTAGAATGCTTCAACCGCAATAACAAAACGCGTTTTGTCGAAGCTATTTTCTGGGCATTAGTTAAACGCTGTAAGTACCTAAATGACTCTCGTACATCATCGTAAATTGTTAAAGCGCGAAAAGTACATTTTTTAATGCCAAGAAGGGGGTATTAGACCAAGAGTGGTTCCACATTTACTCAGATCAGTATCGATATCATTCGAAATTAATAAAAAGCTTTGTTTATCGCTAGAATTCTCGGGTCCACATCCGATTACGGGCAGTATAGGAGAGGGAATAAAACTCCAATACCTGAATATTTAAATACTACTGCTGATAAAAGACCAAAACACAAGTAGCAATGATCCCGGTGGCATTCAGACATATTAACACTCGATCGGCTATTAGTCCCGATTCATCTGATAAAATTGCTGAAGGAAGACTCAACCACAAATTGACTATCATCAAAGTAAACAGCATTTTTTATCAGTAGAAGGATGACACCAAGTCAGCGGAATTTCTGAAGAAAGTGGGAAAGTGTACGAGTGAGAGAAGTGATAGCGAAAACCGCACTAAAAGGAGCCACTGGCCACATGCCCCTACGCTAGCCAAATAAGAAGCACGCATTCAGCATGTCTACAGTTCTTGACCAACAGTGGAATATGGAAGAAGGTGCAAGGCTCAGCAATACACAGAGATAAATTAAATGAGAAAAGATGGAGGGGCGAGATTTAAAACTTAATCAACAATAAGGGCATTTGGAGTGTCCAAGGCTTAGAAAAAGTGCTGCTATGCACCGCTAGTCGGACTGACAACCATCCATCTTTCACTTCCGCGGAGTTGGCTATAACTATCTTTCAACCAATCCACCCAGCTATCGGTGATGATGTCTCAAATCGTTAGGCACGCAAAACAGTACCCATTTCACCCACAAAAGATAACTCGTTTGAGTAGAGTGGATGTAGGAAGTGTGATGACGAGTGAATTTTGCATCACAACACCAAACGGCGAAAAGGATGGATCCAATTTTCTCACCGTAAAAAAAAATTCCAGGCACGCGATAAGGTGAGACCCATTGTAATGCTCTAGATGCTTGTTTAACTCTCGATTTTGATAACAGGCCACTTGAGGGGCTCCACAATTGTACTTCCACCGGGCGGCTTGGTCTTCGGGCCAAGCCAGTAACTCCAAGTCCTGCTGTGCGTCAAAAATACATATTCCGCCTTCAAGAAAATCTCGGAGCGCTGCATTGGTGACAGGAGAAAGTGAACCGGGTCTTGAAGGAAAATCACTCAAATTTCAACTTCTGGGTGATAAATCTTACCGGGACGGAAGGAGTGCATATACTGAGGATGGAAGAATTAGCGAAGACCCCTAGCAGGGAAGTTACTAATAATAGAAGCGAAACTTGCCGTTAACCATCTGCAATGTTCGCTACAGAACTGCCCACTTTATTCTTATGAAGATATGAATTATGCGAAAATGTGATACCCCCCCTCCATTTCTCTACTATCCAGAGCATCCCTTCGCCTCAAATACAATTCCCATACAAGTCGAAGCTTCAGATCCAGCAGAACTGCTAAGAGGGATCAGTGACATTGCGGTCAAGCATCTTCTCAGTTGCATGGGAATTCGATGACAGGAACGGCCGACGTGTGAATGTTTTTCTTACAGCACCAACTAAGTTGTGGCGACCAACGCGGGAAATTGACCAAGGAGCGCGTCGGGGGCGACGCTCAAAAGAGGAAAGGGACAATGTCATAAATTAATTGTGTAACTCCCAGTTTCGGTAACAGGCCACCCGGGGACTCCGCGATTGTAATTGCGGCGAGTGGCCTGGGGTCCAGGCCACGCCGACTGTCTCCAAGCTTTTCGGTGCGTCGACAATACATATTCCACCCGAGTATTATGTCTTCTTTCGACTTTGGGAGAGTCATGGGGGGGGGGGGGGGTTCACAATTTTAACAGGCCATTTGTTTGCGTCATCCACTGGATAAAAACAAAGGAATCCTCAGGTCAAGGCAGTGAGGTGGGATTCGGTCAGTAAGCGATTTGAACCCTGGCAGGGATTTAAAAACTAAAAATTATTTGTACAACACGAAGACAAAGCATTCTATATCAAACTATATCAGCTACAAATAACAGTTGTTAAGCCAAATCAGCACAACATTGATAAACTTTAACTACACTGTCACGGTACAGCCAATTCGTACGTGATTTCAAATGAATATATCCGGTTTCGCTACATCCTTCCCTAATTGCTCATCATAAAACATCGCTTTCCACTCAACCGACATGTTCTACTTCACTGTGTTGGACTCAAACTGTGACAAAACTGACAGAATAACATCCCGCGCTCCAACTTCAAACAAATTGAAAGATGACAGTGACACGCCTTTTCAATATCACAGTAAGCAAGGCAAAAGTGATCACTCACAAGTCTCACGTGCCTGTAACCAACACCGGTATAGGTGGATCCACAAACCGAAGTCCATCATGCACATTCAAAAACACACACTTACACACATGATCAACCATAGGCGCAACAACCACCAACACAGATTTCATCAAGAAAGCACTTCTGTATTGTTCATTGTGTAATTCCTTGCCATAAGGCAACTAAACAGTCGATAAAATTCAAGCCTGCGACTAACTTTCGCAATAATTGTCAAAGAAACGCAGAAAGCTCCCCATAATATTCTCTTTGCTATCTTAACCAATTGCAAGCCTATTCCCAATTCTGAATGTATCCAATGTTTTGTATTTACAAGCCTCCAATGTCTGGAACAGCCTCCGTCGCTACTTCACTGTCGCTCCTCTTCCCCATGTCGTTGTGGAACTGACTACAGTCAGAAAAGATAAAAGTCATAACTTGAAGCTCGGAGTAGCATTAGGGGAATGCATGGAATAAGGAACAGAAGGAGAAAGAGGAAGAGGCAGCATCTCCCTCCTGCCCTCTAAGCTGAAAGTGCCTGTCTTTTCACGGATAAGTTGAATTTTGCACGCAATTTTAACCCTCACAATAAACTACCAGGTACAGCAAAAGTGGTGGACATCAACGACTAGCAGAAAGCGACTTTATTATTTGTAAGCAGTAGATAAAAATAATTGAAAGCACACACAAGTCGACCGACATTGCTTTCGCATCAGCGTTGAATAAACAGCCCACGCCCAACCAACTTCTCCTGATACTTTTTTTTAATGCTAAAACGGCAGTATTCTCAAGTGCCAACGAGGCAGCTTCAAGTCCCACAGACTT